TGACCTCCCACACAAATTTCACACTTTGCACCAGTTGGGTACTTCATCTTAATTAATTAGTTCTTTCAAATATTATATTTATTGTATAAATATATAACAGGTAGGTTCTCCCAAGATGGCTTGTCTACCATGAAAGTACATGCGTGATGCGACAGGTATTTATTTTTTTCACTTTCCCCTTAATATGGAATTTGACATGCAGGTGACTGAGCTAAAACCAGAATGGCTGGTAGAAATAGCTCTTCACTATTATCAGATGTGGAAGACCGTAAGCAAGCTTGTGTGACTGCGCGCGCGAGCGTGTGTGTTTTCATGTGCATAGCTGTACCCCGTGATTTTGGACAAGAGCTGAAGCTGAATACCACCCTATGGTTTTGAAATGAGCAGCTAACTCCCACGTGGTTTCTTAACCTAGCTACTACTTCCCTCTTATTGACTCTTGACCTGCAAACCGTAAGCATAAATAATTCTAGTATCCCACTATATTTTTAATTTTTTGATCCCTTAAAAGAGTTATCGGAGGCAACTGCTACTGGTATAGTGTAGTATTTTATTACGAGTTAAGAGTGAGAAAATAGCCTTCTGAATGTTTTATTAAATTTATTTTGGCGAAGGGAAGTTGTAAGCTTATTGAGTGCATTTGATTGTTATTTTGAAACTCTGCTCCTCATATTTCTAATAAAATTTATATAGGCACGTTCAACTTGTGTAAAGTGCCTGTAAGCTTGTATAACATAGTATTTTTTTTTTAAAATTTTTATTATCATAAGGTTACAAGTGAAAGTGTTTTAACAGGTTATAAGGTTGTATTTCTATAATAGGTATGCATTTTAAGATAGTATTAAATTCGATGAAAAAAAATCAACAGAAAATATCTAAGAATTTATTAAGATTTTTCAAGGCAACAAAATACGACAGTGACGAGATTATAAAGGAAATGAATATTGTAAGGCTTGTAAGTGCAATCTCTTGTATTCTTGTGGTTTTTCACGTAGGGTAAATGTGGCATTAAAAAAATAAATAAAAATATATATATACTTGTTTGAAAAAGGTTAAAATATATAGAATTGTTATATGAGGCAAATAAACACAATTGGTGATTGTAACCACAGTAGATTAACTCAATCAAAAAAGATAAGATAAATTTATAATCAACAAATCTGTAAGAGTGTAGAACTATCACAGTCAAACAATTAATCATTGTAAAGTATCAGCATCATCAAACCATCTAATCACCCCATAAATTTATTCCATCCCAAATCATGCTCCTTTTTCCAAAATCAATGTATTGTATCACATATTTAGACTGGTCATTCAAAAGGAATACTTGGCCATGCAATGGTGTGGGGGGTGTCAAAGGCTATTGCCCCGTGGCCATCTGGCCCAACTCGAAGGGGTTGAAGTTCGACGCAGAACTTTTTGGTTGTTAAGTTATAACAGCACTGAGCGATATACAGTGACTCCAGTCCTTCTAGTTCACTAAAGGGGCTTAAGTAGCCCTCTAGGAGTCCGTTTATTCTCTCCGTCCGAGCTTTCAAAGATTCATCAACTGTAGGTATCTGACTGATACCGACGTCTTCTAAATAATAGTGATAATTGAATAACTTACCTGAATACTAAGACTTTTTAGCTTCTTTGTTC